TCATGGGAAATGTAGTCCAGGGTGATGTGTAACAGTCTGTGTGGTGTGAGAGTCACTATAATGGGAGGGCGACCTCTGGTGGCAAGCAGATGAAAGTTCATGGACAGGATTCGTGACAGGTAGTATCATCAAATCATTAAAAACTTTACCAAACAATGAACTGAATTTATGACTGCAGGAAACATTTAAAGAGGTTGTGGAGGGGACAGAAAACTTTTCTTCCAGAGAAGTTCCATAAACCAAGCCCCGCCGTTAGCGTGGTAAGTAAAGATTTTTTGTAAGGGGTTTCCTCTACGACAGAGGACAGCCATTATAAAAGCATTTAAGAAAAGTTGTTGATCAAAATGCCAAATGCTTTTCTTTCTCAGGCTGCTATAACAAGATATTCAGGCTGGCAGATTGCCTTCACTATGTGGGGTATGTAAATTTCTCTAAAAAGTTTGATTGATTGTCTCATAACCTCATATGCGAGACGAGCTGAGTTTACCTTCTATTCAGAGAGGTCAGTATCTTCACGGTCATCTGTCCTTGGCAAGCTTTGCTTACTTTTGTAGTTTCGTAGCCAGAGTGACTCAAATATATGAAAAAATTTGATGATAAAGTGACATCAGATGTTTGTTGTATTGATTAAACTGATTTTTTTGTTTCTGCAGGGTTTCTGATAGTTCACTTTGTGCAGTTTCTTTTTGCCTTGCTGTTTGTGTATGGAGTCATTCTACCAATCCAGAAGGGACACTTTCTCAGCTGGCTTTCTAGTGTAGGCATCATTCTGTGAGTTCCATTAAAGATATCTCATAACCAGTGTCATTTTTCATAAGCATAATCATCAGGCCATATTTTTGAACTTGCATGACTACATATTTTATAGCTAACATAATGTTAATTTATTAGGATAAGCAGCATTTGAATAGCATTAAACTGTGTTTTATGTGATTGCAGGCTGACAGTACTCTTAGTGATAGCCTTGGTGGTAGTGCAGATTATTCTGGTCCAAGTGTTTTTCCTGCAAGACAAACTCTCACCTGATGACAAAGAAAAGCCCCTTGCACTCAACAACAGGTAGGACAACTACAAATCACCTTTTTAAATGAAAATCAAACAGATGAAGCTGTAAATATGCATTGCCCTTAAACAGCCATGATGAGGTGTTGCTATGTGGTTGATAAGTTGTTGTGAGTGATAAAACATAATATGCTACTGTTGTAAATTTTGGGTAGGTCAGATTTCTTAATGTTTTGAAAGAGGTCTCTTGTAATGTCACCATGGGTTGCAAATATTCAATATATAATACAGTAAAAACAGTAATAATGTGAAATTTCATTTAAATTGAAAATAACATTTTAAGACATACTTTTTTCCCCCCTAATGGCAAAGCTGAATTTTCAGCATTGTTCCAGATGAAAACAGCTGTGCTACTTAATATTTTTGTGGAAACTGTATTTTTGTGTGTTTTTCCCCCCAGGATATTGTTGCCTAGAAGTAACAGCATTTATTTGAAATAGAAATTTTTGTAATGTTATAAATGTCTTTACTGTTACTTTTGAACATTTTAATGTGCCCTTGCTGAATACAAGTATTGCTTTCTTTCCAAAAAATAACATAAAATAAATTTTACCCTTTAGTGTATATAAAAACTATTGTTATTTATTTATTTTTTTAATAACCCAAGTTTTTCTTCTCCTTCCACAGAAAAGCATTCCACTGCTTTAACTACTTTTTCTTCTTCTATAATGTGGTTATGGGGTTGAGCAACAGCATTTTGCGCCTTTTAAGCAGCTGCATTGTGGGTACATGGCTGGTGTCACGCATTGACCGGACCATCATGCAGCGGGGCTACGAGTCCATGGATCCAGGTAATAACGACATATGCAGTGCTGTTCAGTGAAAAAAAAAAAAAACTTAAATTTTCTAAATATCATTTTATTCACAAAGTAGATCAGAGGAACATGATTAGAATTAGATCAGAACAGAATAGAATTTGAATTTTATTTATTTATTTATTATTATATTTGAGTATTTTGGTTAATTAATTATATTTTATTTATTGAATATATTTGGATGATTAAATATATTTGCCTTTACAAGACTGTCAAATTTAAAATTAATTCTAATATTTTTGTACAACGGTTATAATTGTCTTTCTTTTGGGCAGGATATAGTACATGGATTGGGATGATATTTGCTGATCATTATCATAGCAACCCAGTTATGGTGTCTTTCTGCCATCTACTGCTTCGCAGAACACTGGAGAAACGAGGACCTGCAGTGTCCTCCTATGCAACTTTTAGCAATAACACAAGTAAGAATGACTCCAGATACATGACAGCACAAATTCCTTTAAACAGATATCCCATGAAATGACTGTGCCTGTCTGCTGTTTGACAGGGTGTTCAGTAGGGGGCAGAGTACGTGTGCGCTGGCTCCTGCTGTACACACTGCTTAGGAACCCTGCACTCATCCTGCTGAGAAAAAAAACAAACCAGAACGACAACCAAGACCCACTCCTCTTAGCCCGAGCCATCACCTCACAGGCTCAACAAGCAGCTGAACTGGTCAACAACAAAACTCCAGATACAGAACCAACACAGTCAGACATCTGAAACCGGTTCCTCAGTGTGCACACAGACTCCAAAATTTGAGTTTTGTGTCTGTGACTATTGCACTACTGATGAAATTAACTTTAAGGGGATATAGACTTTGAAAAATGTTGTCTTTCCTTTTTGATACAAAGGGCAAGAATGAGAATCTACCTTCCTATAATACATAACTGCACTCATCAAAGCCATTACATGGGGTCTCGAAGACTGGATTTTATCAGAGAACTGGACTGAGAAAATTATACATTCGAGGTCTAATGCTTTTTGTGTGCTTCTGAAACAAATTTGAATGATTAAGTGTTTGTTGGTTAAATTGTATTTTGTAATAAAGAATGTAAAAGCTTAGTTTGGGTGAATTAACTGTATGGCTTATGTCAAAAAAAAAAAAAAAAAGTGGTACTTACCATAGTGTTTTTTTTTTAACCAAAGTTTTCTAAGTCCATGAATATCGTGTTGCTATGATTAGAATTAACTTTTTTGAAATAAATAGATAAATATGTTGTTCTGATATGCAACGTCTTTGTATATTAATGTAAAAAAAGAAAATGCTCTCCAAAAAAAAAAAAAGATTCTTACATCCCTTCCCAAAATACTGTAATAAACAAAATAGCATAATATTGAATGTTTATCATAATAACATTGTATTAGTAGGCCTAATTTGAACATGGTAGCCTACTTGTTCGTTTTTTGGTCGTTTTTGTTATTGATGCGTAAGAGGTGACTGCAGCACGTCTCCTGATTCCTTAGTGAATAGTTTTTAAATGTAGTTATCACCCTGAATTCTCATAGCATGAGTTTTATTTATCACTTTTTGCCTTCAGCACCTTAACAGAGGAACATTTTCAAATCCATTTTAATAGGTGTTCGCAATATGAAATGCTGAGGAACAATTTTCGACTCTATCCTAAAGTATGGCGGAATGGCCCTTTATTTAAACCTATTCAAGGACTTTGGAATTCATTTATTTATTTACTAAGTATATACCATAGAATAGTAAGCTAAATCACGTACATGTTTTCATCTTAGTTCATTTTTATTTTCTTTTATTTCTGTCTGACATTTGACCTCAGTCCTTTTTCCGATGACGTATGACGTAGTTGGAGTGATAGGAAATCCACGTGCGTGCGTGCGTGCGCGCTATTACGGCTAAATTAGTGTGACAAAAAAGACAATCAGGTGAGTTTTGTTATCATCAAGACTTCGATTAATAATGTATTGGAGATATTTGTATGATTTAGGAATGAGAAATGTCTTTACAAGCAAAAAGAACTAGAATAATTAAGTTAAATCAGTTATGTCGTTTGTTTAGCTAGTTAATTAACGTTACTGTCTGATGAAATTTAGCCTTCCAGTCTTCCCGCCTGTCTTCTTTCTGATATTTGAGTTATTAAACGCTCATACGTGTATGGTTATTTTGACCGATAGCAACATTAGTCCAGCTTTACAATGTGAAATACTGTGGGCTGCATTTTTGAGACGATGTAGGATTGAGAAAAGTGAAGGATAACACGGTTAGCAAGCGTAAACTGAGAAACAAGTTTGTCTAAGATGAGAAATCTTTCAAATAGTATACGTGATAACTTGTTTTAATGTAATATGTGACCCTGGACAACACAATCAGTCATAAGGGTCAGTTTTGAAGGGACATAATCTGAAAGTTGAATAAATAACTAAATAAATCTGAGGGTGCAAAAAAAATTTTTTTGTTGAGAAAATCGCCTTTAAAGTTGCCCAAATGAAGTTCTTATTAGCAATGCATATTAATTATCAAAAAATATGTTTTGATATATTTACGGTAGGAAATTTACAAAATATCTTCATGGAACATGATCTTTACTTAATTTCTAATGATTTATGGCATAAAAGAAAAAAAGATCATTTTTACTCATATGACCCTGTATTGTTGGCTATTGCTAAAAATACACCCGTGCTTCTCATGACCGGTTTGCAGGGTCACATATGTGTATTTATAATATTTTCATACATTAAAAAAAGGAGAAAAAGTGAAAACACACCATTGTTATTGTGTGAAAATATACAATAACAACAAATTGATTTAATATGTGCAATCATTATTTAAGGTTAATAAGGTCAAAAATTGATATTTTTAATATCAGGAAGTTTTACTATGGTTACTATATTTGACCTGACCATAATGTGATATTTCAGTTATGAAATGTGATGTGATGGTATTGGGATTAACTCTTTTGACTTTGTTGTGTACATTGTGGGCACTTTGTTTTTATATAGCTAAGCTCTAAACATTAAAGGGGTCATATGATGCGATTTCAAGTTTTCCTTTCTCTTTGGAGTGTTACAAGCTGATTGTGCATAGATAAGATCCCTGAAGTTGCAAAGACTAAAGTCTCAAAACCAAAGAGATATTCTTTATAAAAGTTAAGAGTCAGCCACGCCTAAAACGGCTCGTTCTAACATGCCACCCACATATCTACGTCACAATGTGGAAATATTAGCATAATGCGCCCAAATGTGCACGCAAAGAAAGAAGGCGTGGTTTCAGTAACCGCAGTTAGTGTTGAAGCAGCATGTCAGGGAGACGCTGTGTGTTTCTAGGCCAAAGCAAAAGCACTTTATTTGGCCTTCCGGAAGTAGATGCTTTTAGGAATCTTTAAGATTACTTACAACACAACAGCAATGCATTTTATGGACGACCGTTTCGTGAACCTAGGAGAGGAGGTAATTCTGACTTTGCTATGACAATCTGGCGCTTCTGAATCAGCTACTGTTTTGTTATTAGTTTAAGTATTTGCTATTGACTGTTCAAATGCGGAGTTTTGCGCATCGTGTGTGTTTGTGCGAGCGAGAGAGAGAGAGCGCGAGAGAGAGCGTGAGAGAGAGCGAGAGAGAGAGAGAGAGAAAGAGAGAGAGAGCAAGAGAGAGCGCGAGAGAGAGAGAGAGAGAGGGGGCGTCACATCACAAACACATACCAGCTTCATCACTGACGAGTGCTTGCGGTGTTCGGCCAATCACAATGCTCTGGGTCAGCTGGCCAATCAGAGCAGACTGCACTTGTCGGAAGGAGGGACTTTGTAGAAAACGAAGCGTTTGAGAGAGGCGGGGCATAGAGGACCTACAATAATGTACAGTATTTGAAAAATAATGTGTTTTTTAACATTAAAGCATGTCAACATATTCTGTTACACCAAATACACAAAATAATGATCTTTAAAAAAGCATCATATGACCCCTTTAAGTAATTACCATTACTTACCATTCATAATTAACTATAAACCTTCAAAGCATTTTTGGGTGGCTTTTACTCTGAGTCTGAATGTGTCTGTGATGCCCAAAATGCTGTATAGTTTGACAGCTCAGTAAGTTACAAAAATGCTGTCTGTTCTGTGTTGGACGCGGTCATGTGTCTTTATTAGATTGACTTTGTGTTTGAGTGCAGGATGAGTGACGTGGAGTTGGTGAAGAAGATGCTGCGAGCTGTTCTTCAGAGCAGTAAGCACGGTGTGGCTATGGCCCGTCTGCAGGGAGATTACCGGGCTCTGACAGGAGAGGTGATCCCTTACCGGCAGTTTGGACACGGCAGTCTAGAGAGTTTTCTGCGCAGCATTCCTGGTGTGGTGCGGCTCGAACGCTCCAGTGCTGGAGAGGTGATGCTTTCAGTTAATCTGGTGATACACACATACCTTTATGTGTTTTGATAGATAATATAATATAGTATTATATGTATTTATAGCATAATATGTATACATGCACACTACTGGTCAGAAGTTTGGATTTATTGGATTAAAAATACAGCAAAAACTGTAATATTGTGAAATAGGCCTATTGCAGGTTAAAATAACTGTGTTCTGCTTTAATATATTTAAAATGGAATTTATTCCTGAGATGGTAAAGCTGAATTTTCATCAGTCATTACTCCAGTCTTCCGTGTCACATGATCCTTCAGGAATCATTCTAATATGCTGATTTGCTGCTGAAGAATCATTTCTTATTATTGTTAATATTGAAAATTATTTTTGCCGCTTAATATTTTTGTAGTAACACTACTATTCAAATCTTTAGGGTTACTTTAAAAAAAAAAAAAAAAAAATTAAATAATACTTGTTGATTAATGTTGTTGTTTTTGGTTTTTTTTAACTTTCTATTCATTAAAGAATCCTGAAAAAAAAGTGTATCGTGGTTTCCACAAAAATATTAAGCAGCAAAAACTGATTGATAATTGATCAATTTGATAATAAGAACCATTAATAATAAGAGAGTGCCAGTAATAATTTATAGTAATTGAACACTAAATCAGTACATTAGAATGATTTCTGAAGGATCATGCGACAGTAGGCGTGTTTCCATTACAGATTTGTGCAAAACTTTGGCGATATTTAAGAATGATCATATGACTTTTTACATACGCCATGTGACCTGTAAATGTGAAAAAGCCGTTTCCATTGCAGTTTTGCTAATTATTCCTTTTTTGCATTGCCTGAAAAACCACCTCATGCGAGCGTAAAACCTGTTTTGCGATATATGGGCGTTTTTGCTAAATTGACGTATTTCCATTAGGCGTATTTTCAATTCGCAATTTCAATTTGCGCAATTTGAAGGGTAATGGAAACGCGCCTACTGATGTAATGGCTGATGAAAAAAAATAGAAATTAGGGCTGTGCAAATAATCGAATGCGATGATCATTAGTAGTAAATCTCCATCACCTGCTTTCAGACGGGGCAGCATTTACTACACAGAGCCGTTGTTCACTGACAAGCTATGCAATATTGCGTTCATAATCGCAGGCGATACATCGCCGATAATGCGATGTCACTTGTCAGTGATCTATGGCTCTGTGTAGTAAATGCTGTCCCGTCTGAAAGCAGGTGATGGAGATTTACTACTAATCACAGAACCGGCTTTACTAACGAGAATGATCATCGCATTCGATTATTTGCACAGCCCTAATAGAAAACAGTTATTTTTAAGTTATATTTCACATTATTACTGTTTTTACTGTATTTTTTATGATGGACTTTAACTTTATTTGTATGTTTGTAGGTCATGTGTTTTGCTGGTGTGTGTGAGGAGACGGCACACATCGCACAGCTGGTCGCCCGGCAGAAGAATGTAAAGAAGTCCGGCTGCTCTAAATTACTGAACTTTCAAATGAGAGCAAAGTCTTCATCTCTGTTTTCACATAACGGTAACATGCACAAACAAAAATCCAGAGTGAAAGAGATACTGTTTGACTGATATCACATCATTTTCATGGTTAGTTTAGGAGAAAAGCATCTGCTAAATGAATAGGCCTAAATGTAAATGTAACTTATATTATTCTGCAATTAGTAAATTAACAGTGTACATTTGAAAGTTAACTTGAGCTTAA